CACTGCTTTTCCTTGTTGCCATTCTGCCTTTCACTGCCTTTCTAGTTGCCATGCTGCCTTTCTCTGCCTTTTCTTGTTGCCGTGCTGCCTTTCACTGCTATTCCTAGTTGTCATGCTGACTTTCACTGCCTTTCCTTGTTTCCGTGCTGCCTTTCACTGCCTTTCCTAGTTGCCATGCTGCCTTTCACTCCCTTTCCTTGTTTTCGTGTTGCCTTTCACTGCTTTTCGTTGTTGCCATTCTGCCTTTCACTGCCTTTTCTAGTTGCCATGCTCCCTTTCTATGCCTTTTCTTGTTGCCTTGCTGCCTTTCACTGCTATTCCTAGTTGTCATGCTGCCTTTCACTGCCTTTCCTTGTTTCCGTGCTGCCTTTCACTGCCTTTCCTAGTTGCCATGCTGCCTTTCACTCCCTTTCCTTGTTTCCGTGCTGCCTTTCACTGCTTTTCCTTGTTGCCATTCTGCCTTTCACTGCCTTTCTAGTTGCCATGCTGCCTTTCTCTGCCTTTTCTTGTTGCCGTGCTGCCTTTCACTGCTATTCCTAGTTGTCATGCTGACTTTCACTGCCTTTCCTTGTTTCCGTGCTGCCTTTCACTGCCTTTCCTAGTTGCCATGCTGCCTTTCACTCCCTTTCCTTGTTTTCGTGTTGCCTTTCACTGCATTTCGTTGTTGCCATTCTGCCTTTCACTGCCTTTTCTAGTTGCCATGCTCCCTTTCTATGCCTTTTCTTGTTGCCTTGCTGCCTTTCACTGCTATTCCTAGTTGTCATGCTGCCTTTCACTGCCTTGTTTCCGTGCTGCCTTTCACTGCGATTCCTAGTTGTCATGCTGCCTTTCACTGCCTTTCCTTGTTTCCGTGCTGCCTTTCACTGCCTTTCCTAGTTGCCATGCTGCCTTTCACTCCCTTTCCTTGTTTCCGTGCTGCCTTTCACTGCTTTTCCTTGTTGCCATTCTGCCTTTCACTGCCTTTCTAGTTGCCATGCTGCCTTTCTCTGCCTTTTCTTGTTGCCATGCTGCCTTTCACTGCTATTCCTAGTTGTCATGCTGACTTTCACTGCCTTTCCTTGTTTCCGTGCTGCCTTTCACTGCCTTTCCTAGTTGCCATGCTGCCTTTCACTCCCTTTCCTTGTTTTCGTGTTGCCTTTCACTGCTTTTCGTTGTTGCCATTCTGCCTTTCACTGCCTTTTCTAGTTGCCATGCTCCCTTTCTATGCCTTTTCTTGTTGCCTTGCTGCCTTTCACTGCTATTCCTAGTTGTCATGCTGCCTTTCACTGCCTTTCCTTGTTTCCGTGCTGCCTTTCACTGCCTTTCCTAGTTGCCATGCTGCCTTTCACTCCCTTTCCTTGTTTCCGTGCTGCCTTTCACTGCTTTTCCTTGTTGCCATTCTGCCTTTCACTGCCTTTCTAGTTGCCATGCTGCCTTTCTCTGCCTTTTCTTGTTGCCGTGCTGCCTTTCACTGCTATTCCTAGTTGTCATGCTGACTTTCACTGCCTTTCCTTGTTTCCGTGCTGCCTTTCACTGCCTTTCCTAGTTGCCATGCTGCCTTTCACTCCCTTTCCTTGTTTTCGTGTTGCCTTTCACTGCATTTCGTTGTTGCCATTCTGCCTTTCACTGCCTTTTCTAGTTGCCATGCTCCCTTTCTATGCCTTTTCTTGTTGCCTTGCTGCCTTTCACTGCTATTCCTAGTTGTCATGCTGCCTTTCACTGCCTTGTTTCCGTGCTGCCTTTCACTGCGATTCCTAGTTGTCATGCTGCCTTTCACTGCCTTTCCTTGTTTCCGTGCTGCCTTTCACTGCCTTTCCTAGTTGCCATGCTGCCTTTCACTCCCTTTCCTTGTTTCCGTGCTGCCTTTCACTGCTTTTCCTTGTTGCCATTCTGCCTTTCACTGCCTTTCTAGTTGCCATGCTGCCTTTCTCTGCCTTTTCTTGTTGCCGTGCTGCCTTTCACTGCTATTCCTAGTTGTCATGCTGACTTTCACTGCCTTTCCTTGTTTCCGTGCTGCCTTTCACTGCCTTTCCTAGTTGCCATGCTGCCTTTCACTCCCTTTCCTTGTTTTCGTGTTGCCTTTCACTGCTTTTCGTTGTTGCCATTCTGCCTTTCACTGCCTTTTCTAGTTGCCATGCTCCCTTTCTATGCCTTTTCTTGTTGCCTTGCTGCCTTTCACTGCTATTCCTAGTTGTCATGCTGCCTTTCACTGCCTTGTTTCCGTGCTGCCTTTCACTGCGATTCCTAGTTGTCATGCTGCCTTTCACTGCCTTTCCTTGTTTCCGTGCTGCCTTTCACTGCCTTTCCTAGTTGCCATGCTGCCTTTCACTCCCTTTCCTTGTTTCCGTGCTGCCTTTCACTGCTTTTCCTTGTTGCCATTCTGCCTTTCACTGCCTTTCTAGTTGCCATGCTGCCTTTCTCTGCCTTTTCTTGTTGCCGTGCTGCCTTTCACTGCTATTCCTAGTTGTCATGCTGACTTTCACTGCCTTTCCTTGTTTCCGTGCTGCCTTTCACTGCCTTTCCTAGTTGCCATGCTGCCTTTCACTCCCTTTCCTTGTTTTCGTGTTGCCTTTCACTGCTTTTCGTTGTTGCCATTCTGCCTTTCACTGCCTTTTCTAGTTGCCATGCTCCCTTTCTATGCCTTTTCTTGTTGCCTTGCTGCCTTTCACTGCTATTCCTAGTTGTCATGCTGCCTTTCACTGCCTTTCCTTGTTTCCGTGCTGCCTTTCACTGCCTTTCCTAGTTGCCATGCTGCCTTTCACTCCCTTTCCTTGTTTTCGTGTTGCCTTTCACTGCATTTCGTTGTTGCCATTCTGCCTTTCACTGCCTTTTCTAGTTGCCATGCTCCCTTTCTATGCCTTTTCTTGTTGCCTTGCTGCCTTTCACTGCTATTCCTAGTTGTCATGCTGCCTTTCACTGCCTTGTTTCCGTGCTGCCTTTCACTGCGATTCCTAGTTGTCATGCTGCCTTTCACTGCCTTTCCTTGTTTCCGTGCTGCCTTTCACTGCCTTTCCTAGTTGCCATGCTGCCTTTCACTCCCTTTCCTTGTTTCCGTGCTGCCTTTCACTGCTTTTCCTTGTTGCCATTCTGCCTTTCACTGCCTTTCTAGTTGCCATGCTGCCTTTCTCTGCCTTTTCTTGTTGCCGTGCTGCCTTTCACTGCTATTCCTAGTTGTCATGCTGACTTTCACTGCCTTTCCTTGTTTCCGTGCTGCCTTTCACTGCCTTTCCTAGTTGCCATGCTGCCTTTCACTCCCTTTCCTTGTTTTCGTGTTGCCTTTCACTGCTTTTCGTTGTTGCCATTCTGCCTTTCACTGCCTTTTCTAGTTGCCATGCTCCCTTTCTATGCCTTTTCTTGTTGCCTTGCTGCCTTTCACTGCTATTCCTAGTTGTCATGCTGCCTTTCACTGCCTTGTTTCCGTGCTGCCTTTCACTGCGATTCCTAGTTGTCATGCTGCCTTTCACTGCCTTTCCTTGTTTCCATGCTGCCTTTCACTGCCTTTCCTAGTTGCCATGCTGCCTTTCACTCCCTTTCCTTGTTTCCGTGCTGCCTTTCACTGCTTTTCCTTGTTGCCATTCTGCCTTTCACTGCCTTTCTAGTTGCCATGCTGCCTTTCTCTGCCTTTTCTTGTTGCCGTGCTGCCTTTCACTGCTATTCCTAGTTGTCATGCTGACTTTCACTGCCTTTCCTTGTTTCCGTGCTGCCTTTCACTGCCTTTCCTAGTTGCCATGCTGCCTTTCACTCCCTTTCCTTGTTTTCGTGTTGCCTTTCACTGCTTTTCGTTGTTGCCATTCTGCCTTTCACTGCCTTTTCTAGTTGCCATGCTCCCTTTCTATGCCTTTTCTTGTTGCCTTGCTGCCTTTCACTGCTATTCCTAGTTGTCATGCTGCCTTTCACTGCCTTTCCTTGTTTCCGTGCTGCCTTTCACTGCCTTTCCTAGTTGCCATGCTGCCTTTCACTCCCTTTCCTTGTTTCCGTGCTGCCTTTCACTGCTTTTCCTTGTTGCCATTCTGCCTTTCACTGCCTTTCTAGTTGCCATGCTGCCTTTCTCTGCCTTTTCTTGTTTCCGTGCTGCCTTTCACTGCGATTCCTAGTTGTCATGCTGCCTTTCACTGCCTTTCCTTGTTTCCGTGCTGCCTTTCACTGCCTTTCCTAGTTGCCATGCTGCCTTTCACTCCCTTTCCTTGTTTCCGTGCTGCCTTTCACTGCTTTTCCTTGTTGCCATTCTGCCTTTCACTGCCTTTCTAGTTGCCATGCTGCCTTTCTCTGCCTTTTCTTGTTGCCGTGCTGCCTTTCACTGCTATTCCTAGTTGTCATGCTGACTTTCACTGCCTTTCCTTGTTTCCGTGCTGCCTTTCACTGCCTTTCCTAGTTGCCATGCTGCCTTTCACTCCCTTTCCTTGTTTTCGTGTTGCCTTTCACTGCTTTTCGTTGTTGCCATTCTGCCTTTCACTGCCTTTTCTAGTTGCCATGCTCCCTTTCTATGCCTTTTCTTGTTGCCTTGCTGCCTTTCACTGCTATTCCTAGTTGTCATGCTGCCTTTCACTGCCTTGTTTCCGTGCTGCCTTTCACTGCGATTCCTAGTTGTCATGCTGCCTTTCACTGCCTTTCCTTGTTTCCGTGCTGCCTTTCACTGCCTTTCCTAGTTGCCATGCTGCCTTTCACTCCCTTTCCTTGTTTCCGTGCTGCCTTTCACTGCTTTTCCTTGTTGCCATTCTGCCTTTCACTGCCTTTCTAGTTGCCATCTGCCTTTCTCTGCCTTTTCTTGTTGCCGTGCTGCCTTTCACTGCTATTCCTAGTTGTCATGCTGACTTTCACTGCCTTTCCTTGTTTCCGTGCTGCCTTTCACTGCCTTTCCTAGTTGCCATGCTGCCTTTCACTCCCTTTCCTTGTTTTCGTGTTGCCTTTCACTGCTTTTCGTTGTTGCCATTCTGCCTTTCACTGCCTTTTCTAGTTGCCATGCTCCCTTTCTATGCCTTTTCTTGTTGCCTTGCTGCCTTTCACTGCTATTCCTAGTTGTCATGCTGCCTTTCACTGCCTTGTTTCCGTGCTGCCTTTCCCTCCCTTTCCTTGTTTCCGTGCTGCCTTTCACTGCTTTTCTTTGTTGTCATGCTGGCCTGCACTGCCTTTCCTTGCTGTCATGCTGCCTTTCACTGCCTTTCCTTGTTTTCCTTCTGTCTTCCACCTCCCTTGCTTCTTGTCATGCTGCTTTGCATTGCCTTGCCATTCATCATCCATGCGTGCACATTCCCCTCCAGGCAATGAAGCTGGTGGAGGTGTATGAGCTAGAGGAGCTGAAGGACAGCAAGATGCCGGTGGCAAGTGAGGAGGCCATAGTGGACTTTGCAGACCTGGCTCTGGACTGCATCAAGTCTCCCGGCACACGGAGACCCACCATGAAGGATGTGGCTTACCGCCTCAGTGCCCTCATTGCCAAGCACTGTCCCAACAAGGAGGATGAGTGGGAGAATGTCGCGGAGGAAGACGGTGCAAGCAACGTGGATACCGGTACATCCTCAAGGGATGTTTCTGCTGTGCCGTTGGGAGATCGTGGGAGGGAGTCGGAGAGGTCTTATGGCTCACAGTCGGGTGTGAGCTCATTGTTGGGCCTCAGGAGTTGGGTGCAACTGAAGACAACCAAAGGGCGTTGAATTTGCTCATAGTGTCTGTATGTGGGCCATGCAACTTGAGACATAGTGCAAGTAGCAGTACTGCCATACACTAGAGTGTTACGTACAGGGCGATGCGGTAAGAATACTTTGGAGTTTGTTTGTGTTTAACTTGGGTGCAATAAACCCCAAGCTCGAGATACCAGTTACAGGGGAGACTCAAGACAACCTCAAGCATTTATCAGTATAAAATGGGAGACGCAAGCAGTGAAGCACACGGGGGAATCTACAACCTCAGCTAACAAAATTAAAAGCGTAGAAGATGCTGGCAAGCAGCTTGAAAATCACTCAAAGATAGCACCATGCGTGAGCTGAAAGAGCAAGCCATATCTGTGTTCATTGACTGATACTGGAGTGCTGCAAAGGGAAATGCCATGACAGCCAGCCAAGATGGGTGCTAGAGAATGGATTATGGAATACTCCGTTGGCTTCATTGAGAGAGCTGTGGACTTGACACTTGCATTCACAACAGTTTGAATGCTCGCTGGCTACTGCTCATGCCAGTGGATGGACGGAACGACTCTGGCTTACTGTCTGACGGAAGCAGTTAGCTGCACTTGTGACGCAAGTCAGCACGGGAATGCCAGCAACTTGCCAAACTGCGCAACAGGACGTTTGCATCTAAAGCAGCTCGGTATGTTTGCGAAGCAACAGTTTGCCATCACTGCCGTATCGCCGTTGTCGTCATCCTATCAGTTATCACCACATGCCATCTTGTGACCACGGTCAGTTGTTTAGGATCGAAATCTCCGCGTTTGCCCTCTGCAGACACACATAGCAGCAGCAGCAGCAGCAGCAGCAGCAGCAGCAGCAGTGCAAGGGACAGGCAAAAGAGTGAGCAGTGGCGGCAGCGGAGCACACAGCTGCTGCCACACAGGCTTGAACAGCATCCAGTAGACACGTTCACAACCACCCCTGCCCACTACCCATGGGACTTACAGAACATGGCTGCAGATGAGCATGTCCCGCTCTTTGCGCTGGGGCACCCCCTCCCCCTTCCCCACTGCCATCGCCCTCTGTTTCGTGCCCACTGCCCACTATCCACTGCTCCCCTGCTGCCTGCCTCCTGCAACCTGCCCCCTGCCCCCTGCCCTCTGCCCTTTGCCAACTACTCACAGAGCGTGTGTGCAGATGAGCAGGCTTCTGTTTCTGCGCCGGTGCACCCCCTCCTGTTGCTCCATGCGTCTTCTCGGCTGTGTTTTGCCTCGACGCAGCACCCGCTCATGGCCTGCTTCCCCTCCGCTGCTCCCCTCCTGCCCACTTCTCCCCTCTCTTCTTCTGTCACCCCCATTCACTGCTGGCTACCATGCCCTCATCCCCCTCTCCTGCCTCGGGTGATAGATAAGAAGGTGCAGGGTGGGTGGCTGCTGTTGAGTGGGTGCAGGATAGGTGCTTGCCCAGCCGTTCCTCACATCCCAACCACCATCCCTCGCCTTTCATTATCCCTTGTTACTATATTCATCTTTCTGCATTCACCGTCCTCTCCTTTCACAGAAGTTGCATGCTGCCCTCTCAAACCTATCCAGCTCCCACCACACTCAACCTTGCTGTCCCCAACAGGCTTTTCAACCCCGCTCAAGACCAATATCAACAGGCTTTTCAACCCCGCTTTCCTACTGGCCCTTGGAGGTTTCTCCACCACTGTGCTCTGCCTCTTCTGGCCCTTCATCATCCTCGCCTTCCGCAACATCAAGAACACCCCTTCGCTCTACAAGATCCTGCCATTTGGCAGAGGCGCATTCGTGTTGGTTGAAACATGATTTAGGCAGTGCATTTCAATCTTGAAGAAGGAACACATCATGCGTGCAAATGAGCTCAGCAGTTGAATTCTCCACTTCTACAAAGAGCTGCGATAGAATGTTAACTCCCACGAAGAGTATCAATGCACACTTTGTCACCCTGAAACAAGCTTGTGCTCTGTTCTGCACTTCAGACAATTGTCACAAGCATCAGATAAGGAGACGAGGACAGGAGATCAGTCACACTAACCGCACTGCACACTATCTGCACTGCACACTATCTGCACTGCACACTATCTGCACTGCACAGTATCTACACTGCTCATACTCCGTTGATTATTCTTGTGGAACGGTTGAAAAGGCCTGGGTGGGATGAAAAGGCCTGGATGGGATGAAACATTTTTACGTGTATTATAAAGGCATAGGTGTGCTGAAACGACCTGGGTGGGTTGAAAAGGCCTGCGTGAGATGAAAACAAATGGGTGGGTTGAAAAGGCATTGGTGGGATGAAAAGGCATGGGTGGGATGATGACGCATGGGTGGGATGAAAAGGCATGGGTGAGTTGAAGGGATGGGTGTGATGAAAAGGGATGGGTGTGATGAAAAGGGATGGGTGGGATGAAAAGGTCATGGGCAATCAGTGGGTTGAATTGGAAAGGGGGTGGGATGGAAACGCATGGGTGGGATGAAAACGCATGGGTGGAATGAAAGGCATGGGTGGGATGAAAAGGAATGGGTGGTATGAAAAGCCATGGGTGGGATGGAAAGACATGGGTGGTATGAAAATCCATGGGTGGGATGGAAAGGCATGGGTGGGATGGAAATGCATGGGTGGGATGAAAAGGCATGGGTGAGATGAAAAGGCATGGATGGAATGAAAAGGCATGGGTGAGACGAAAAGCCGTGGGTGGGATGGAAAATGCAGCAGCAGAGGAAAGGGGCAGACGAGACAGTGGGAGTTGGAGGCTACGTGGAGGAGATGATTTATGTTGCTGTTGTTGAGCCATAAAAACAGGAGTGCATGGAAAACAGGAGTGACAAGAGTGGGTGGGACCATGAATAAGCTGGGAAAAATGACATGTATGGGGGGTATTAATGGAGTGGGGATATGAGGGGAGTGATTGGTATGACAGGAGTGGGTGGTATGAGGGGAATTGGGGAAATGCGAGGCGCGGAGTTAATAAGAGGGTTGGGGGTTATGATAAGAGTGGGGGGTAGTTAAAGCTTGGGGGATGGGAGGAAATGGGGGACGAGGAGTGGGGGGTATGAGAGGATTGAAGGGGTATGAAAGCAGAGGGGGGTATGAGAGGAGTGGCGGAAATGAGAAATTTGGGGGGTATGAGAGGCTCATGAGTCTGCTAGGTGGGGGTGATGGTATGGGGGCACCTGCCACTGATCTGCCACTGACCTGCCACTGACCTGCCACTGACCTGCCACTGATCTGCCACTGACCTGCTCCTGATCCACGGGTGACCCACGTTCCCCTCACCACCCATGTTCCCCTCACCACCCATGTTCCTCTCACCACCCATGTTCTTCTCACTACCCAGTAATGACCACTACCAGTGATTCATTATAGCCCACCTCCTTCCTCGCACCATGCACCTCGTTTCGCCCAACAAACCACCTTTCCCCCTGATCATCCGCAAGGAAGAAAACTGCTTTACGGGAGTACCCAGCATCCCCCTCTCGCAGGTTACCCGCAGGTTGCCCCAAGGAACGCACCTCCTTCTTCCTCCTCTGGGGCACCGAGCAGCCACAAGTGCACTGAGCAGGCCCGAATAGCCCTTAAGGGCGGAGAGAATGGGGGAGAAGTCAAGAAACAGGTGCGGGGCTGGTGGAGGGGGGGCGGTGGGTTGGTGATGGAAGGGGGAGGAGGCAGGGTGGATGGAGGAAGCAGAGAGGGGGAAAGGGAGAAGGGAAAGGAGCAGAGTCCTTTGAAGTTGATGCGGAAGACAATGTGGGTGTGGGTGGGGGGGGGGGGGGGGTGGTGGGGGAGGAGGGAAGGGAAAGCTGGAAGAGGAGGGAGAAACAGGGAAAGGAAGGGAGGGACCCAAGCCTTTGAGAGGGTACGAAAAAGGGTGTACAAAGGTGCCAAACAGTTCTGGAAGGGCGGGAGTCAGTGCAGTGGGCCATGCTTGAGTCACGTTGAGAATTCTCGATGCGCACAACCTCAAGTGCGAAATAGAGCTGCAAATCATATCAGTGCTAGAAGCTGAGAGAAGAAGAAGGGTGAGTGCAGCGGGGATGAAGTTAGGTAGGTGTTTGGGAGAGGGAGTTGGAAGAGAGGGGGAGCAGTTCAGGGGAAATCATTACTTTTCCGGCAGTGGCGCCGCTGGCGGTGGTGCAGCTGTGGGTGCGATCATCGGCCGGCTTGACACCCGCGGTGATGCCCCCACTCCACTCGCACACTGCAGGCCCAGCCACTCCAATCGGACCGTGTGAATTCAACGGGGACGAGTCCCGAGACGGGTCATGACAGAGCCTGGCACCGTGGATACGGGGAATGGGAGGGAGAGGGGTTAGGGGAGGGGTAGGGGAGGGGGGAGGGGAGGAGGGTAAGGGGAAAGGGAGGAGGTAAGGGGAGGGGGTGGAGATAAAGGAACGGAGAGAGGGCAAGGTTATTATGAGGTAAGGGGAGGGGCAGTGGGTAAGGGAGTTGGAGGAGGCAAGTGAAAGGTTAGCGTGTAAGTGGAAAAAGAGGGCGTAAGGGGAGGGTTCACGATGGCCTTGCGGTGGTGCCTTGGCAAGCAGTGTGGCTGTGCGAGTGGGTGCAAGACGGCATGGAAACAGCAAGCAGGAGTAACCCTACAGGGGGGTAAGGAATTTGGAGGGCCGAGAGAAGGAGAAGAGGAGCGGTTTGAAACCTGCTGCACCCTACCCTTGACTGTGACGTTATGTGGGTGTAGTGGTTCCATGATTCCCAACGAGAATGTCCTGCGTGCCGTTGTAACGAGGCGAACTTTGAGACGACTGAAAGTAAGCTCGTTACCTGCCACATCCTGTACTTCATTGTGGCGTTACATGAGGGTGGTAGCATACATTGGTCCGACGGCCTGCCACATCCTTCCCTGCCACATCCCTCCCTGCCACATCCTTCCCTGCCACATCCCTCCCTGGCACAACGGATTTCCTTGAAGCAGCACCATCCCCCCCTTTCCCCACATAGCCTGCCTTCGCCAACCATGCGTACCCTCCCCCCCATCTCCCCCCCCTTCGCCCCCTCTCCATGTGCCTTGCGACCTTGATGCATCGTATTCACATGCTTAAGCTCACTATGCCCCAGTCCCGCCTGCTTGTGTCCCTGCCCCCCCTCTCGCCTCGTGTATGTCTGCCCATCCTGCTGCCGCCTCACCTCGTATATGCCCTGCTTGACTTCGCTGCTGCCCTACCAACTGTAGCACGTAATTTGGCTGTTGCACACCACTCCGGTCCCATCAGCTTATGTCCCTCATCAGCTCCGGTCACACCACCCATGTCCCTGTCCTGTTGCACACCACATCAGCATCTAGTTGCCGCTACAGCTGCAATGATGGTCCTTCGGATCCCGGCAGGGCAGCCGTACATCTGCCGTACATCTGCCACGACACCGACATGGATAGGCGGAAGCGTAGAACAGAGCGGGGAGGGGGAGGAAGGGTGGGGCCGGCACAGATGGGCAGTCAACTCATGATGCACCAGATGGCTGCAACCCGACCGGCTGCCAAGCATTTTGTGGCACATGTCACGGGAAGATAGCAAGGTGGAATCTGTCAGTCCGCAGGCAAGGCGGCAAGGCGGCCTATTACACGTCAGCGGACTTTAATGAAAAGGCTGCACCCAGTTACTCCGAGTGGTTCAAGGCCCGATGAGATGAGTTACCCTTTGAGCCTCTACATGGAGGGCGGGGAGGCGGGGAAGCTGGAAGCGTTGCGTGCAGGGAGGGGGGTGCACACTTAAGATTCTAGGAGGTGGTTCATGTGAGGACGTGGGAGCGAAGGTGGTTCATGTGAGGACGTGGGAGCGGAGGTGGTTCATGTGAGGACCATTGCAATGCGATGGCACGTGGAGAACGTGGGGCCATCATGATGACGTGGTGATTATGCTAATAGAGGTCAACTCACCATCGCCATCGCAAAGGCTTTGTCGAACAGCCGTCGTTCCAGCCTCGAGGCCCCTTCCCCATTAATCTGCCACTTTCACTATCAGGGAGCTTCGTCCCTCCTCTCGCATTCCACTCATCCCTTTCTCGCTCCTTCCATTACTTCCAGTCCACTCCTTCCGTTCCTGATTGTGCCATTATGTGAGGGGAGTATCCGTCCTTCCCATGGCTTTCTGCGCTCCCTCCAGCTGCAGTACAGCGATTCTGGAAGCGAAAGTGCACCAGGATGGGCAGCAGCAGCAGCAGAGGCAGCGGTGGTGGCAGCAGGCAGAGCCACGTGCGACCTGCCCGTTCTCTTCTTGTCCCTTCCTTCCACCACGCAGCTCGCCTCCACCAACCATGTGTCGCAGCTCGCCTCCACCAACCATGTATCGCAGCTCGCCTCCACCAACCATGTGTCGCAGCTCGCCTCCACCAACCATGTGTCGCAGCTCGCCTCCACAAACCATGTGTCGCAGCTCGCCTCCACCAACCATGTGTCGCAGCTCGCCTCCACCAACCATGTGTCGCAGCTCGCCTCCACCAACCATGTGTCGCAGCTCGCCTCCAGCAACCATGTATCGCAGCTCGCCTCCAGCAACCATGTGTCGCAGCTCGCCTCCAGCAACCATGTGTCGCAGCTCGCCTCCACCAACCATGTGTCGCAGCTCGCCTCCCCCATGTGCCATCTAGCCTCGGTGCAGCATGCTCACACGCCCCCTCACACTGATCCAGTCCCGCCTGCTTGTGCCTCTGCCCCAGTGCTCCATCTCTCGACTCGCTCTTGTCTGCTCCTTTCTTCCAATCTATCTATCCCCCACCTGTGCGCCGCCGGCCTCTCGTCGGCTCCACTCTTGTCCCTGCTGCAACCCACGTCAGCACCCACCCTACCAACACTTCGGCTGCTGCTGTTGCTGCTGCGTCAGCGAGACTTGGCTCCTGACCCAGGCCGTCACGCACCTGTCACGCCATTGCAGACGCACACCGGCATGGCAAGAGGGAAGGTGATGGGGAGGAGGAAAGGAAAAGAGGGGGGGTTTGGGGAGAGGGGGAAGGAAAGGGGGTGACGAGGAGGGGAAGATTGTGGAGAGTGATTGCACAAGCGCTGACGTCGTGCATAGGCGTCGCATCGTTGTGGCTCTCTAACGGCTACCGCAAATCCCAGCGTCCATGTCGCGGTGACAGATGTTCTTAATCTGTAGGGACGCTCATTTTGCCTCTACTCGCAGGGGCGTGTGGGGCGAGGAGGGCGGGGTTGTGACATGATGTGGCATGGAGCGACGAAGGCGAATCGCGGGTGAAAGTGCAACATGAACAATCAAGAGCGAGCAAGTTGGAGGGGATAAGGGGGTAAAAGGGCGCATGATGTTGACACGGTTACACTGGGTCGACTCACCATCGCCGTCGCCAAGGTCGCTTCGGCATGAAGCCACGTCTTCTTTCATGCCCTTTAGAGCAGCTATTAATCTGTTCTGCTCGTCTTTTTCCTGCTCCTTCTTGGCGAAGGGTAACTGATGCGCTACTGAAGGCCTAAATGGTGACGGTTGTCTCTTCGACAATTTATCCCACTGGTGAAACTGCAATCCTCTTTCATCAGAATTGATTGCAACCGCAACAAGACGTGAATTGCAGAAGTTAGCGCCGACATGAGGGATAGTGGAGGACAAGACGCCGAAAGAGGGAGACGGAGGCGCCGTTTGAGCAAATGGGGATTCGGGGCCAACTCTGTTGCTAAATGCGAACAACTGTCCGCGGGCCCGTCGCATGAAACAGGCTGACGTGGAATGATGGGCTGATGTACCAGTCTGTCGGCAACAGTAAATGGGCGGTAACTGGGCTGATCATGCGGCTTATTTGGAACGGTCCACAGTATCGCGGTCGAAGCTTCAGTATGACAGGCAGTCTTAAGTTCTGTGTGTCCAGCAGTATGTAGTCTCCTGACTGGTATGTGACTGGGCGGCGGTGGCCGTCAGCATTTCTCTTAGCGATGACATTTGCTAATTTAACCGGTTCTGCCGCTCTGGTGCGGGCAACTTGCAGAATTTCTGCAAATTGCTGTGCACATGACGTTGGGTTGTTCGGACTCGGCGTCATGGGCACTGTTGGATTTTGCCCGTAGTTCGGGTAAAATAGGGACTGCTGCGTCGTCGCTGACGTGGCGTTGTTGTAGGCGAACTCGATCAGCAGCAGCTGCTGCTCCCATGTTGTCGGGTCGTTGCACGTGGCACGAATCAGCTGCTCCATGGTTTGATTTGTCCGCTCCGTTTGACAGTCGGTCTCGGGGTGGTACGACAAGTTGAACTGTAGCTTGGTCACGAACTGCTCCCAAATGTTTTTCCAGGAGTCGCAGGTAAACTTCGTGTCGTGGTCGCTGATTATCGCGGCTGGTATCCCGTGTAGTCGAATGATGGTTGCGATGAATAGGCGAGCGTTTTCCTCGGAAGAGATCGATTTCCTGCACGCAGCGAAGTGAGTCATTTTCGTCAGTCTGTCAACGACGACCATCACCACGTCATTACTCCGTGACGAAATCCATGATAACCTGCTGCCAGGCACGCTCGGGCGGTGGAATCGGCTGCAGCTGACCTGCCTTTCTTTTTCGCGAGCTCTTCATCACCTGACACGTAGGACACGAGCCCACGTGGTGCTGTATGTCGGTCAACAGCTCCGGCTCTGAAGCTCCTCTGGCGATAGCAAGTAGACTATTGCCGACCTAGAACTGGTACCAGAGCTTGGCGAACGGGCGCGTCGATCGTCGTGAATTCGTTTGGTGCGTCAAGTGCAATTAGTAGAGGAGAGGAGTTATTCGCGCCTACGCCATGACAGACGAGGCAAGTTCGGGTTTCAGTGTGAGTCTTGGACGCCCGCAATCGAAAGCTCTTCTCGAGGCCCTTACGAGTGGCCGATTGGTGGTGAAACCGACGATCGGGCTCAGCGAAGCCCGGCGCTTCAACAGGGGCAACTACAACATGTGGCGAAAGAAGTTCATTCGGATCACAGAGGAGGTTGACCTCTTACCATACTACCATCCCGACGAGGAGACGAATGAGGGAGTTGCGCCTTCCACGACGGATACGAAGGAGAAAATAGCGGCGTTAAAAAAAAAAAAACAAAAACAAAAAAAAAACAAAAAAGGCGATGAGGAACCAACTGCTGATGCTGAGTATGGAGAAAGGTGAGATAATCATCACATGCATCAATAGGACGAAAAGCTACAACGACGACTTGCGGGTGATGGGAGCCGCGGAGACAGAGCATGAGATGATTGACTATATCATTCAAGGCCTTCCTGAAGAGTGGGAATCAGACATCGGTATGTTTACGTACCAACCGCTGGGAAGTTCGACAAATCTGCAGGAGATTCTGCAATCTCTTGAGACGATAAAGGAGATGAGGGAAAAGAAAGCGGCAGCAGCAGCTTAAGAATTCGATGAGGAGAGGCCGGGTTTGGTGAATGCAACGAAGGGGTTTGGAGTGTGCTACCAGCGCAGAAAGAGGGGGCATAAGGTGATTAGCTGTTACGAAAATCCACAAAGCACGAAAAATCACTTAAGGGCAAAGTGGTGGAGAACGAGAAAATGAATAATGGGGGAACAGAGTGGCAGCAGAAACGAGGATTCAGCGGCAAGTGTGATTGTTGTGGGCACTACGGGCATCGAGCCACAGAGTGTTACTCCAACTTGAATAGTAAGAGCTACAGGGGACCATCGTAGCAGAGGAATGTGGCGGCAAAGGCGAATGTAGAGAAACAGGAAAAGGAAGATGTGATTTTGGGAGGAGCGCATGTTGCGAGTGTGGTGCGTTTACCGAAGGATGTTCACCAGACGGACGAACGTGAGAAGACGTCATGGTTCATCGACAGCGGATGCACGCGTCACATGGCATTCAGGTCAGATTGGATGGAGAGCGTGAGGAAGTCGAGTGAGAGTTGTATACTGCAAAGTAACAGTGGGAAGTTTCCAATAACATGAGATGGTGATGTGGTGCTCCAGAGTCCTTTCGGAGAGGTTAAACTGGAGAGTGTTCTATTAGTTGAGGATTTAAAGGTGGACCTGATTAGTTACCCACAGCTTGATGACTTGGGGTGCAAGATATTAGTGGCGAGGTGGCTGTGTTTGGTCCTGAACGGGAGACGTATGCGGAGCGGATGGTTATTTCAGTGATGGGTTCTATGAGACGAACCTAATAACGATGAAGGATGAGGTCTATGAAGATCCTCTTTGAAGATCCTGTGTATACTGAGATGGGAAAATTGGAGGAGTTATCAACTGAGGAGGATGAGAGTGAGGACTCGAATGATACGGCAGCAAGTGTGGAGGCAACGGTGAGGCAGGAAGAGTAGATAGTTGTGATAATAGAAACGAGAATGAATGACTAAGGGAAAGTTGGGTACAAATGTGAACCCTAGAAAACTGTACCCCATATGTGCTACCCCACTATAGCCTACAGTAGCTATGTCATATAAATCTGACACACCCCCATAGGCAAAGTGGGGGAGAACAAGGGGTCACAAGACCAGTCAAGCAAAGCAAAGCAAGCTCAGGGTGGATCACAAAGTCACCACACATTCCGAGCACAAGTTCAAGGCCACAAGGCCAGTTCACATGCAGGATTACATATATATATAAGGCTAGACAAGCAAGAGCAGGTGTATATATATATATGCAACAGTACAAACAAGGTCAAGGGGTGAGCAAGTGAGTCAAGGTAGGCACAAGACCCAGCTGAGTACAGAAGCGCTGATGATCACAAGGCGCAAGTGCCTTGGTGAAGATATCAGCAGTGTTGGCCTGAGAGGCCACGTACGCAAGCCGCAGCTGACCACGCTGCTGTAGCTCACGAGCAAGGAAGTAGCGGAGAGCAATGTGCTTCGTTCTGTGCTCCAGTCTCTGCTCTCGACACAAGGCCAGCATGGCCTTGTTGTCTACGTACAGCACTGGAGGAGAACGAGGCGGCTCTCCGAGGTCAGTCAGCAGGTAGGTGAGCCAGCGAAGCTCCTGTGCAGCCATGGCCCCGGCGTAGATCTCAGCCTCACAACTGGAGCCGAGAACAGAAGACGAGCGGGTAGCCCGCCACGAAACAGAGCCGGAACCAAGGCTGAAGGTGTAACCCTGTGAAGACCGCTGCGTAGCCTGGTCGTCAGCCCAAGAAGCGTCTGCGTGCCCAGTGAGGACCACTGGACTCTGCCCTCCAAGCACAAGCCCCATGCCCGACGTACTGCACAAGTAACGCAACACCCTCTTCACTGCAGCCATGTGCTCCGGTCTGTGTCTCCCAGGAGCAACATAGCGTGCGAGAATGCTAAGAGGGTATGCGAGGTCAGGTCGTGTGCAGGTCATCAGGTACATGAGGCAGCCAACAAGCTCTGGGTACGGGCCACTCGACTCTACGGACTCATCCGAAGGCAGAGCTGAGAGCGAGTGGCGAGTAGGCAGAGGAGTGGCCTGAGGCGAGGAGTACGTGAAGCCGAAGCGCTGAAGGACCTGCTGCACCATGTGTGACTGAGTCAGGGTAATGGTGCGGCGTGCTCTGTCCCGGGTGATCTGCAAGCCAAGGTAGCTGCGCAGTTCACCCAGGTCTGTGCACGTGTGTCTCTTCTGCAGCTCGGACTTCACGTGGGCGAGTCCAGCAGTGTCAGCTGTGGCAAAGACCAAGTCGTCGACGTACACGAGGATGTAGAACGGCGGCAAAGAAGTGTCGGTGCGCAGAATCAGCGACGGGTCGGCAGTAGAGGGAGCAAACCCAAGAGCCGCAAGTGTAGTCCTCAGTGTGTCGTGCCACTCACGCGGTGCCTGGCAGAGACCGTAGACTGGCCGCCGGAGGCTCCACTGGGTGCCAGGAGGAAAAGACCCAGTGAAGCCAGGTGGGCGACGCAGCCAGATCTCCTCGTGCAGGCTGCCCTGCAAGAAAGCAGTGCTGAAGTCAAGAGAGTGCAGCTCGTAGTCGCGGTGAGCAGCTATGTGCAGCAGTACCCGAAGAGTGGTCATCTTCGGGGTGGGAGAGAAGGTCTGAAAGTAGTCAACTCCCTGCCGCTGACTGAAGCCACGAGCCACGTAACGTGCCTTGA